TAAGTATTCCAATCAGCGCAGGGAATAGACCAGACGGATATTGGTGGAAAGGGGAGGTGAATGGGAATTACTCGGTCAAGAGTGGATACATGCTACAAACGGAGGAACCGGTAGGAGCGGCGAATGGGGTATGGTCACACCTTTGGGCAGCAAAAGTGCCTCCTAAATTTAAATACTTTATTTGGCAGGTTTTGGATGGGACAATTCCGACGGTGGATAAATTAAGGCAAAGGGGAATTGTTGTGTCGAATGGGTGCAAACTATGTGATGACCCGACCGAGTCGCTGGAACATGCATTTAGGAATTGCAACTGGGTCCGGTCGGTCTGGCACGAAGCAGGTTTCAACATCGAAGAAGAGAAGCCGGTGGAAGAATGGCTACGGGGCGGCATAGAGGTGGGGGATGCGGAAAAGAAGAGCAGGTTTATGACCCTGCTATGGAGTTTGTGGAAACGTAGAAACAATGCAGTCTGGAAGAATCAAAAGCAAGATACCACTAGTGTAATTAATGGAGCTGCAGGAATGATAGCAAGCTGGAGGGAGGCCCAAGATCAAGGGGGGGGGGGGGGGAGCAAGCTGTTAAACGGCCCTCAGTTAAAGAAAAGTGGAAGAAACCAAAACAGGATTTTATAAAAATCAATGTTGATGGTGCGGTTAATGAGACCGGGGGGATAAGAGCTTGGGTTTGGTGGATAGAGATGACGAAGGCAATTTCTTGAAAGCCCAAGGAGGATCGGCGGCGGTGACCTGGTCAGCGGCTGAGACGGAAGCCTATGGTCTAAAGGAAGCCATGGAATGAGCTATTTGGGAAGGATGGACTAGAGTTGAGTTTGAGTCAGATGCCTTGACTGTGGTGAAAAATATAAGATCAGGGGAAGGGTGCTCGTATTTACATATTATTATTGATGATATTAGAGAATTGTTAGAAACTAAGAGTAATTTTTCTGTCTCTTATTGTAATCGATCTGCGAACAGTGTAGCTCATGCTATTGCAAGAGGACACGTAGCTCTCCCATATCAGTATAGTATCTATGATGTGGCACCTAATTGTATTGCTAGCCTTCTTGCTACTGATTATCTGGATTAATAAGAATGCTGGAATTGATGACAAAAAAAAATGATAATCTTAGGAAACTAACACCTAATACTTTAGAAAACTTACTTTAGGAAATTAGTAATAACCTTAGGAAACTAACACCTAATACTTCAGAAGCTTACTTTAAAAAACTAATAATAATAGTGAATAATGATAGTAATGACGAGCTTATTCTTTCCATATCATTACTCCCCTCTTGAACATCAAGCTTGTCCTCAAGCTTGAAGCTAATAACTCATGACAACCAGTCTTTCCACCATCAAACGACATTGATGGAGTATATTCCCATATACCCTAGGGGTATCATAATTGTTGGTTAAACGAATCCATCCCAGAATACGCAAAGTGCCGAACTCCGATGAGTACCGACCTTGACCCCAACCTTGGGTCATCGAGGTCGGGAACAAGCCCGAGACGACGAATTGACGAAGAACAGAAGGCCAGCCGACCCCGACCTTGACCCTCGAGGTCGGCGAAATACCAAGCTCGGGAACAGTTCAAACACGACAAGTTATGAGGTCGACCTCGAACGCACCAAGCTTGGTACCGCCCTGACCTCGAGCACTAACGTGGGCTCAACCAAAATCAAAACGAAGAAGTCAACGATCTCAAGACAGGACCAAGAACAGGGAACACATTCCCTGGCGATGAGCCTGAGCACCCAAGTACTGACCCCAGTAAGCTCGAGGTCTGACTAAAGCATCATGGACTTAGACAAACACATGGGAACAGACATCGCCTAAGATTGCTGCCACCTCATCATTACTTCTTAAGGGGGCCACATCACTCCTAGCAACAGAAAGAAAGAATGTCCTGGAACATACACGTGTAATCACACTCACGTTTGGGAAGCAGTTTGTTAGGGGCAGTTTCAATCAACCAACTATCCCAGTTATCTCTCCAATCACCTTTACACGTGGCAACACCCTATTGATTTAGTCTGTTAGTTTGTTAGAATGGATTGGACACATGTCCTCTCCCCATTAGATCATCATCTTTTTACTTGGGCACCAAGTATTGCCTTTTTGTATAAATATCACCTTCCAACTTGTGGAAAGGGATCGATCTCTCTATTCTCTTGCTGTTACTCTGCTAAAATATCTACTTGAGCTTTCCAATCAACACTTCTCTCTACTTTGCTCGGATTCCGGCTATCCCTAGGTCGGTGATCCATCAGACATTATTATATGATCCATCATCACCATGTTGGTTGTAGCCGCGTGACTCTTAGTAATGACCCAATTTCCGAATACCTGGTCAGATTCATCAAAATTTCCTCTTGCTAGGAAGGTCCATATTATTTCTTGCATCTTGGTTGTAGGCAGAAAATACGGAGGAGGGAAGGATGAAGGTGCCAACACTGATGGTGTCAGCAAGAGTGTTGTTGACAGTGTTAGATTGACTCATTGTGAAAGAACTTGCTCCGTTGACAATAATAAAATTGGCGGTGGTGTGGATAGCAAGGATTGCTTGTCCAACAAGGGTTGTGAGAACAGTGGAGATGTTGATGAGCATACAGGAAGGAAATAATTGACATTTTAATGGAGCTTCTAGCAATGTCACCAACGAGGCTGTTGTTTGCGAAGATAGAGAATCATATTGTGAGTGTTGCCTTCGCTCAATAGCTTTTGCCAAACTGATTGCCACATCCACGTTGTCGGGATATTGAAATTTCAATGCAAGACGAACGTCATCATGAAGTCCTGCTGCAAAGAAGTTTACTTAAGTCTGTGAAGATAAGCCCTTCGTGCATGCCAATAAACACTGAAACTGGCTAATATACTCATCTTCCAGTGATGAAACCTTGTAACATATCCTCATAGAACAACAACTGTGAAAATTGAGTCTGGAATAGTGGGGCACAATGTTATTCGCGCTAAGGACTCGATGGTGGTGTTCCTGAAACTCCCTATTCTCACCTTGGGATCCGGAGGGGCTGTTGCTATTGTAGTCAGTGTGGACCTGCAGTCTACTAGTCAGAGCAACAAGCTGTATGAAAGATGTCACCAAATCTGTAATTTTTGCTTCAAGAGATCCTTATCGCTGGTTAATATCTACCATGAAGGTTTTGAGTGTATCTGTGGTGGTTACGGACGTGATTAAGAGATAAAAGAGAAGAACGATAAGTATGATAGTTGAAAAAACAACTCAACTTCCATCCCTATGCAAGGAAGTGTCTATCGGTTTCACCGAGCGCATGAGAAGAATTATTCTCCAAAAGATTGGTGATTTTATTCATTAATATGACACCTCTACTTATACTAGTCCCAAGAGTCTTGTGGTCTAGTATTAGAGTAACCCTAATTCTATTACAATACTTTTATTAGGAAATTAAGTAAAATAAATATACATACTAATAGGAAACTGCAACTAATAATAACCTTAGAAAACTACTCCGTAACATCCAATACTTCAACAGGAAACTAATAATAATAATAATAATAATAATGAATAATGATAGTAATAATGAGCTTATTCTTTCCATATCAAGACTATGTTTGGCACAACGAGCTTGAACTGGAGGCTAAAGTCTGAATTAGGGACTATTGTCTGAATCAGAGACTATTGTCTGGAGCTGAACTTTGAAGTGTTGAATCTGAACCGTTAGCTAAATCGAGTAGAACCGTTTGGCAAAAAGAGCTGAAAAGTGCTGAGATAATATGAAATTACATTAAAGGGCATAAGATTTATTAATAGAATAAAATATTTATTATAAGGATTTTTATATTTTCAGCTATTTAATATATGTATGCGTGTTTGTATACGCCCTCTGTCCCGAAAAGGTTCGCTAAATGGACTTTTCTTGGTCAATGACAATCAACTTTGACTAATGATATTTTTTAATACGGAATTATTTTGAATATGAAAGTTATATCAAAATGTATCTTATTCAATATATTTTCATAAAAGTATAAAATTTATAAATTATATACAAATATAATAATCAAAATCATTATTCAAAGTTTGTCATCATTGACCAAGAAAAGGTAATATGACAAACCTTTTCGGAACGGGGGTAGTATAATATTTGTGAATTTATACATGTATATAATATAGTACGGAGTACAATATAATACTCTGTACTATAAAATAACATAACATAATACATTATATTATACTAGGTATATTATAATATGAGAAAATCACGACCCAGAGGAATATGAAGCACCGTCGAGACGTCTGTCCTCCTCCAACTTAGCTCTTATTCCGGTGCTCAATTATGCTGATAGATGGACACCAACACAATTGTCATGAGTTGGCCGCAACGGAAATACTCAATATGGTTTGATCCAATCCAGTTTCATCCTCTGCAAATTGGGGTTAATTTTTTATCAATATTTTCGTAATTGTGATTATAATTTCTTAAAGTAAAAAATAGTTCTTTTTTTATCACGGAGTGGGAGCAACATAAGAGTGGTGGTCAGGAATATTCTTGGATTGCGAAAGTCTGCTTTGCGTGGGCAGAATGAAACACTATGAATGTTAACGTTTGATTTCAGTCAGCTTATTTCAGCTCAAGCTAATATCAACCTTTCTCCCAAAAGAGTTTAATGATATTACAATTAGCTGATATTGGCAAATTCCAGCCAATTATGAGCTGAAAGTGTGCCGAACAGAGCCCAAGTTGTTGGCATAACAGAGCTTGCCACTGGGATTGACGTAGTACCTCAAGTAGAACTTTAGGCATGGAGGGGTATTGAGCAGACTAAATACAAAATCGCTAGGTTGGGTAAATATGTATTCAGTCCATTATTTTTAGCTTCAACCTTTTATCCAAAGTGAAACTACATTTATAATTAATGGCTAAATTATAAATGTTCAAGGCAAGCATAGCCTAACAAAAAATCACAAACACTTCTATGAGTTATATATCCAGCTAAAATAAGTTACTCTTCCTTCTATCCCAAACACCATGATTTGATTTATTAATACAAATTACAAGCTCTTCCAAATTCCAGTCAATTATAACCCTTACCAGTGAACCCAATGCAGTTCGGTTTAACAGATAAGAAGACCGACTCAATCTACTTATATTTTTTATACCTGCATGGTTTATGTCTGGTTCTAGAACCAAGTCTACCAATACCTTCACACACTATTTCCACTTGGAGATATAGTTCAGAAGAGATCTGCACAAACTGAGATCTTGCATCTAAAAAATGTGAAATTCCATATGTATTCCATACAAATCATGTCAGAACTCCAGGGTAACTAGTACTCCAAACATAATAATTACATAATATCGACTTCTAAAGTTTATCAAAAAATTATTCCTACGCAGCTTGTCTTTGAACCTCAAATTGCATGCCTCATCAGCATTCACTTGTGCAATATGTTCTTCTTGGGCATCTTGGCCTTCTTTTGAGTTTGGTTCTGCCAAAACAAGATCATACACACAGAAGGTCAACTAAACAAGGCCCAATCCTTAAGCTTGTATATCCAGTGCGATGTTAAATGAAAATGTTTTAACCTTTTGCCTATCTACAGCTTCATAGTCAATCCTATCTTGCCACCTACTCTTCCGAAGTTTGATAGGTCGGTTCCCAACATATTTTCCTGCAACCAAATGTTGTATGTCAGCATACATTTACTTCCTTACTTATTTTTACTTCATTTTTACTAATTACATGTCTATGTAATTATTATTATAATAATAATAAGATGGTGGGTGGGTATTATGTTTAGAGGGTCCATCTTTCATTTTCTCTACTTTTTTATTATACAATCTCACTGAGTGAGATTGTTTCAAAGTGGCCAGCTTTTCCTTCTCCTCTCCTCCCACTCTCTTTTCTTTGTTCCAACAATAAGAAATTTATTTTCATCACTTCTTCCCCCTAAACCCATCTAAAGAAACAACACTCAAGAGCCATCATGTTTATTTTATTTATGCACGAGCGATATGTCAGGTATTCATCCATTTCACTCCCGTTTCCTAACAAATACATTTTCTTGTAAAACAGATAAATTACTAAACCGGAGTCTAAATTCCAACTGCAGATTATGTAAATGAAGCTATATGAAAGTAACTGCCGCATACCATTTCTCGCTCGTTGGGAGTCTTGTGAAATTGATTAATTAGCTATGAAAGACCTTGCGCTCTGAAGGTGTATTTAAGATCGTGATTAAGGTAAACAGAACATAAGATCTACTAGTATGTATGTGCAAGTAAAAGATAGAAGCCTACATACCATTCATTTCTTTAAGGGCTGCTGCAAGATCTGAAGGGTTGGAAAAACTCACAAATCCATAGCCTTTGGTTTTGCCTGTTCTTTTGTCTCGCACAACCTGTCATGATATATCATGATAACCATCAAGAATTATTGAAACGCAACATATAACCACATATTATATGCTTTACCACATATCAGATGCTTTAAAGCTAGGGGGTTACTATTTCATTTTATTGGGGTGCGTCATGCGTGTTGTTATAAGGTGGTTATGAAAGCAATCCAGAAGGGAGATACATAAACGCATGAAAGCTCAGGGCACTATCAATTTACTGCAATATATAAACACAAGTAAATAAACAAACAAAAAACAGGCAAGAAAACCAAACTTGTGTATTCACATAACACACTCTAGAATTTAACATGGGATGATCTCAAATGACAGACACTTGGGTGATATAAGGAGTGTTTGAGCTTGCTTCTACTTTTGAGAAGTGCTTCATTTTAAAATTTGGATGAAAAGTTATTGATAGTAAATGTTGGTGGTATTTGAAAAGCAAAGTGATCTAGAAAAGGTAAAAAATAGTGTTTGTTGAAAAAGTACTTTTATGGGTAATAGCAAAAGTAAAAAACAGTTTTAAACACCCGTCACTTTTATTAACTGCTTAAACTTAGGCAGAAGCACCAGTTTGATAACACTACTTTAAGCTTTTCAAAGCAAAAAACTGAGAAACACCTTAAAAAATGTTATGACGACATTCAACATATAGACGCTCCTATAACCACGTTCAACATATAGACGAAGCCCAATTGTTATGACTCCCTTCTATACCTATTTACTTAATTGGTAGATAGATAGGATTGGTATTATTCAATTCAGAACAAAAAAACTGCAATTTTCATTACCCATTACATTCATTTTTAAGTTTTAAAAACATTAAAAGTTCTGTTTAGATGAAAACAAAAAAAAGGACTACCTTGATGGAAAAGAGACAAAATCACAAAATAGAGGGACATGCAAATTCCAATGCAAATAGGAAGGGACATGCCAACGAAGGAGCATGCATATCTGAGGGGACAAGTAAATTAGGAAGTAAGAGGCAATTGAAGCACTTGTGACAAAAATCTGAGCTCTGAAGGGACAAGCAAATGCTCATGCATGACAATGAAAAAAATCTAAGTTACTCCCTCCGTCCTGCTAGAAGGTTCCCGTTGACGGTTTATGATGTTTGACTGACGATAAAGCAACTTAATCCCAATTCACATTTGATTATTTTTAGTAAATAAAATTAACATATTCAGAAACTACATTAAAACCGCTACAAAGCCTGATAAAAAATGTAAATTTGATAAATATTTGATTTATAAAGTAAAAGATTAAAAACGATTTAAGTTGACCATGTGAATAGTGGACAGGAACCTTCAAATGGGACGGAGGTAGTACAATATATATGACTTCACATAAGACTTACCCTGGCCATGTTAAATGATCTGAATCTTGAAAATGCTTTTGATAAAACATCATCATTCACCTCATTTCCAAGATCACCACAAAATAAACGGTAATCATCTGCACAGTAACCATAATTTTTTTCATACCAAATGTGCTAGAAAAATGACAACAGCAGAAAGGAAAGTTGAAAAATTCGCACTTGAACTACATAAAGAACTCTTGCCTAAAAAAGCAGGCGCACTTTCTCAATACAGAAGTCTTGAAGTTTAAGCATTAATATATGAAGTTGTAACACAAAACTAGAGAATAAAAATGGATTAGATTGACCCTATGAATGTATGAATAGTAAGACACAACAAAATGGGCACAAAGTTCCAATTAAAACCCTATTAGGCAAAAATGTTAAAACTTGATTTTAAGACAAACTTCACAAAATCAATTGTGATCCGTCAACCGGCCAATTGTATATTGGTAATTACATTGATTATTGGTCATGCCCTATCATTTGTCCACAACTATGTTGATAGCATTCATGTTCTATATTTAAAACTTACATTTTTGTCAAGCTGGTATTTGACTAGTAAATTAGTACTACGTAATAAGGAGTATTTTAAAAATCCTTTTCAAAAACTAAAAAACATCAATAGGCTATACTCTGGCAACTGAATTACAACGATTTTTGAATAACTTCTATAGACCAACGAGCTACATGTCATCATGAATCATAAAGAACGAAGAAAATAACCTACTTTCTGGCCAATCAGCAAGGGTAAGATCCTCCCAAGTTTGGCCAGCAGCTTTACGATGAACTGCTTTCTTCTTAGCATCAGCTTTTTGTTCGATTTCACTGCTTGCAAGTGCGGCTTTCACATTCTCAATTGCTTCTGGTGTAACTATTTGCGCAACCCTTTGGAACAGCTGATTTGCCTGTAATTAAACCAGACACAGTGATATATTTCCTAACCATGTGAAATAAATTACGAAACGCTTCACCGGTCATCATAAGGAGAAAAATAACTACTCCGTACTTATCATATAACAACTTGTAACTAGAATGCTTACTTGTTGATATTGAGACAGGGATGTACTCGGAAGAGGGGCAGTAACTGGATATACTGTAGGAACGACGGAAGGAACGGGGACTTGAACAGGGGGGAGGGAGGCGGGGCCGATGTAGGCTTGCGGCGGTTGCTGTTGAAGGTGGAATGGCGTCGGAAAGTAGGTCCCGTTGGGGTACGTGTACTGCGATAAAGAAGATCCGACCGCCGGGGAAGTCAATGACACCGTAGACATCTTTAGGAGACTGCCGAGGACCACCGGTGACGGAGAATTGTCAACAACGGCGACGTCCAAACGGAAATAGAAGAGGAACGTGTACTGTTTAGGAGCAAAAAGAAGACTCAATTGCGCTGAATTTTTCGTTGTGAGGATCAAAGTGCTGGAAGAAAATCGGGTAAAAAATCTTTCCGTCGAAGTTTGCAGGGGTTTCTAGAAACTGCGCGACGCGGTAAGGTGTTATGGACGGTTATGGACGCTTACTTTCTAATTTTAAGAGAAAAAAGTTTGTGTAGTTTTTATAATCGGCTAAAGGGTCAAATAAGTACGTGAACTAACTTAAAGTATTCAATTAGTTTCGTATTTAGGAGATTCAGTCTGTCCGTCGTCAATTAGGGCGGTTTCTGATGGAATTTTTGATGAAAATTTTTGAGCATCTTCTTCATTAAGTCTAGTTTACCCAAATCAATTTTCAGCTAAAAATTAAATCGAGAAGGCAGTCAAATGATTTTCTGAAATGTACTGCATTGTTTAACTGCGCAGTTATCTTCAAAAAATTATTTGACTGCTTCCGCAGTTGAATTTTTAGCTGAAATTTGGTATGGGTAAACTACACTTAATGAAGAAGATGCTCAAAAAATTTCATCAAAAAATTCCATCGTAAACCACCCCAATTAGCGACGGTCGAGTAGAACCTCCTATATAAGGGGCTAATTGAACACTTTAAGTTAGTTCATGTACCTATTTGACCCTTTAGCCTTTATGATTTTATTACTCTTATAATGGTAATAATAATGTTAATAAAAAGTGTTATAATACTAGTACTATACTATTACTAGTACTATTACATAAAAGTGTTATAATACTAGTACTATACTATTACTAGTACTAGTACATAAATGTAAAACAATGATTTACCGTTCATTCTACCATGCTTCTATAAAAAAGTTCATTCTATAATACTCCCACTCAAAACTATTTGCATTTCAACAGTTCACTCAACATCATCTTTCACAGCATCCAATTCGTCGGCCGTCAATTTTCTTACTTCCTCTACCGAATTCCATGGACTTCAACCTCCATGCTTCACCCCTTCTCTATCATCTTAGTCCAGCGACGACGGAAGTAAACCCCTTCACCACTTGATTTTTTGACTTCTTCCACCTATTTATCTTAATCCCTTTTCTGGCTCTCCTCGAGACATCAATCTCAACAATCTGCACTACCTTCATACCATTCTCCATCGTCTCCACCCCTTCATTCTTCTGACTACCTTCACTGATTTTTCGCATTCTTCTTTCACTCCACTCCTCATCTCTCTCCCTCATAGGAAACCACCGGAATTCAAACATTCGGAAATTATATCCTTCTGCAATTTCACTTTTACATCTCTACCGGTTCATTCATCGCAAGTATTTTCATCTTCTTTACGATTTCAATCTCCAACTATTGTTTCCATTTCCAATATTCTTTATTCAATCGCACCGGAGTTTTTGTGTTCTGACCGGAGGTTTATCTTACACCAAATTAGGGTTCTATAGTTGCCTGTTTTGAGGTATCTCAATCACTTTTAGTTATAACTATTAATGATTCCAAGAACTTGTACTATAAGTTCTCTTGGGTTATAGTTTTGATAAATCTAATAGTGCGATAGCAATATTGATTCATACCATTTGTGGGCGATTCCTGAACAAGTTATCATTAGCAAACAACTAGACCATGAACTCGTGCATTGCACGGGAATACTCGATACACATTAATGAGATTAAAAATAGATTGATTGGTTATTTTTTACAAACTTATTCCAAACTTGAAGTGTTATTAAATCGATCAATGATCATGTTATGAAGAAAAACATTACAATTTCTTACTTTATCTAAAAAAAACTAATTAAACAATAAAAATCACTTTTGAAAATTTAGAATGAGAGGAATTTAATTATACAAGGTATTTTTTAAAAAATAAATTATTAATACATTAATAAATAAAACGCATAGTAGAACACATGAATACGGTAAAATTTCTAATGTTACAAATAATGATCGTATTATTAGTCATAAGAACGGAGGTACTATATATGGTCATATGAATAACAAATGACTTTTAAATGTGTGTTTGGATGGGCAAACAACTCCATTGCAAAATTACAACACCAATTGTTATGTCACAGTAGAGCACGCAAATAGTGTAAAATTTCTAATTTTACAATTATTTAAGAAGAGATGTAATATATATGGTCATATGAATAATGAATGACTTTTAATTGTGTGTCTAGATGGGCCAAACAACTCCATTGCAAAATTGCAAAATCAATTGTTATGTCTTTCGTTTCCTTCCTTCAGATGGGAATTAGGTGTTATCAACATCATCTCCAATGTCATAGTGACATTTGTGCAATTAAGTAGTCAAAATGATTTGTTATTCCCACTATATACAAAGTACTTCCTCTCCCATATATAAAGGTTCCCACTTTTCTTTTCTGTGCATCTTATAAAAGTTCCTAAATTTCTGTTTTAGGAAACGATTAACAATCCTAAGTTACAACTTAATCATGAGATATTGAAAAATAATGCATTTATAATATAACAGTTATCACCATTAACCTCATTATATTATATACCTATCAAATTTATTTTTCAAAATATACTTCAATTATTGTATTTCATTATTGTCTAAATATTCGGGATATTTTGCAATGAGAACCCTTCAACGGACAAAGGTAGTATATAGTACTATTATAATACTACTAATGATTATTTGGGTCCTACACACATGTATATAATATAAAATACATGGCCGAATGAATAAGAAATGACATTTAATTGAATTAAGTGTGCCTGATGGACCAAACAACTCAATTGCAAAATTATAAAATCAATTGCCCACCCAATTGCTTTAAGAGAGAAAATTGTAAAATCAATTGGCCACCCAATTGCTTTATATAATACTAGACAATGAACCCGTGCGTTGCACGGGAAAAATCAACTCACATTATTCAAATTAAAAAAAGATTGAATGAATATCGTATACTACCTTCGGCCCAGGTAACATCTCAGTTGCGTTTACGATATTTGACAGATCATAAACTTAAGTGATCCTTGTTAATAATGAAATTATTTTTAGCAAATAAAATTTATATATTCAAAAATTACATTAAAAGTCTTGTAAAGTCGCAAAAATTTAAATTTGATAAAAAAAATGGATACATAAAGAAAAAGGTTAAGAAAAATTTACATTAGTTTTTATCTTATGAGAGAATGAGCTTTCATGAGTGTTTTTCAGGGGGTCAGCAAACCAGTTCGGTTTGAGTAAACCAAATTGTACCAAATTGAACCGAAATCAAATCATACGCAATTTCATTTGAATTTAGTGGTATGTCGTTCCAATCAAATTAAATCAAACTAAAACTAAGTGAGACCCTGAGAAATTGAATAAGGTCGAGCTGAACTCAAATAGTCAATAAATTTTTAATATGTTTTTAAACATAACAAGTTCAAATTGTAACGAAGTGATTTAATCCGAACTAAACCAAAACATAGTATGATTCCGATCTATTTCAAACCGAATCGAATTGATATTAAAACCAAATTGAAACCAATGTGCTCACCCTAGTATTTTTTGATATAAATTTGTTACTCAATGAGTTTTATTTTATAAGAGAAATAACATTTTTTAGACTAAAAGTATGTTTTTTTAAATCGAGGAAACTAATTTTTTACTTTTTTATGTTGTTCTTGTATCTACAAATTTGTCCACTTAATTTTTGTAAATTCTGGCTGTTTTTTTATATCCATTGATTCTATGAATTGTAAAGATGAGATATTCTATGTACGTAATTACGGATTTGAATAATTTTCTAGAATTGTAATTGGATTCAAGTAATTATGGACGATGATAATGAACTCCTTAATTTGTTCAAATTTATGTATATTTACCCTTGTGATCGCATACATGTGGTACGACAATATATATGGTCCATAAAACGCATATCTTCATTATAATTCAAGTAAATTTAACGTTGGTCGAAAATTGTTCATCCCAAAAAGTCAATTTTCTTGTAGCGGATTGAATGGTATGCCTATTTTGATTAAATTATTATAAAATTGATATACTAAGTTATTGTTGCTCAATTTCAGTAAAAAAAGTTACTATACCTCGATCATTTAGGTCTCATGTGTTGGTCAAGCATGCATCTCACATTCAAGCATCTCCTTTAGTATTATGCATTGCTTACCATATATAATAAATAACTTAATTTAATGTTATGACTTGAAAAATGATTTAATACGGAAATAGGCGTGAATAATTGGAGAAATCCATTTGTCCACCCAATTCCTTTATATTATATAAAGATTTACCCTTGTGATCGCATACATGTGGTACGACAATATATATGGTCCATAAAACACATATCTTCATTATAATTCAAGTAAATTTAACGTTGGTCGAAAATTGTTCATCCCAAAAAGTTAATTTTCTTGTAGCGGATTGAATGGTATGCCTATTTTGATTAAATTATTATAAAATTGATATACTAAGTTATTGTAGCTCAATTTCAGTAAAAAAAGTTATTATACCTCGATCATTTAGGTCTCATACGTTGATCAAACATGCATCTCACATTCAAGCATCTCCTTTAGTATTATGCATTGCTTACCATATATAATAAATAACTTAATTTAATGTTATGATTTGAAAAATGATTTAATACGGAAATAGGCGTGAATAATTGGGGAAATTCATTTGTCCACCCAATTCCTTTATATTATATAAATATATAAAGATAACTTAATTTAATGTTATGACTTGAGGAATGATTCAATGCGGGAATAGGCGGGAATAATTGGAGAAATTCAATTGTCCACCCAATTCCTTTATATTATATAAAGATAAAGATAGCAATATAGATGTATGAACAATTTGTAACCATTTATGAATGATTTTTTACCATTTATAAATGATTGCTGAAAAATTATGCACTAAATTATTAAATGCCTACCTTTCCCTTCCACAAATCATCTATCAAATACTCCACGGTAGGGTGGAATGAGTATAAACAATTATTGCAAACTCAATTCTCAGCTCATATATTGTGTGTGTGGCTAAATTCTTTGTTGTTTTTCTTTTTAAATCTGAATTGTACATTGCAGGCATGCTCAAAAGTGATATGTTTTTCTAGACAAACATATTACATAGAACTTTGAACGTCATTAGGACTGCATTTGTAATGTTATTAATCGGCAAATGAAGGTTAAGTATTTTTGGTTGGGTGATTAGAAAATATCTTCTAAGATAATCTTCCACTGCCTTGAGTTTGATGGTACTAATTTGGCCCACGTTTGCAATTCCATGAGAAACTGTCTGTGCCATGGCCGCCATAGGAGAGCCGAAAAGAGGGTTGTCATGCTGAGGTCGAACAACCCCGGGAAAACCAGCGAATGAGGGGCCGAAAAAGGGAGAATCTGGCGGCGGCGTGGGACGAGGGCTAGCCGGCGGCAGGAGGGGGCGACTCAGTTGCCAAGGGAATTGCGGTGGCAGTGAAGGGAATAGTGAATATGGCGTTGGCGCTGCATACGGAGAGAACGGATTCGCCATAGACTCACTCGTCGGCGGTGGCGCGGGGATGCTGCCAACTGGCCGAGAGACCGCAACCTGGACCTGCGGCTGAGATACGGCATGCTGGACGGGGGAGGAGAAGTCAGATGCCAAGATGCCTACGTCCGCCGTGGAGAATTGCAGGGGCGGCGGCGTAGTTGGAGAGGTCGGCGGTGCCGTGATAGAGAAGGCGGAAGACATGGCGGCGACGTGGATCGGAAAAGAAAATTAGGGTTTTCTTTGATCTCGTGATACCATGTGAGAATATTTGGGAAAGATACTCCAATAGGAGTCCTGACAAGTATATTTATAATGAAAGAGTTATAAACATACAAGGAAACAAATATTCCTAATAATATTCTATTGCTTTGTTCTTCCTTGTTATTTTTTTTCCTCTTGCGTTGATTACACCTTTCCATAGGGTAGCCACAAAGGTGCAAGTGTCGGGTTCGAGTCCTAACAATTGCGGTGAGAAATTAGTATGTAAAAAGTTACAGGGCCTCAACAAGTACTTGAGCGAGAGCCTCACTCCCTATATGTTAAATTGTAATTAAAATTCAATTTACATTCTCACATCTAGTCAAATGTCCGGAGGGCCTCAGGGATGATGTGTCACCATTTTCTAAACATATTCTAAGTTTCTTCTTTTTTTCTTTTATATAAATGAAATTTATTATTTTTTGGCAAAAGGAAATAGGAAAAATTGACAATAATAATCTCACATTTGACTGATCTTCTCATTATTTTTTGTATCATTTTCCTATTCTTATTGATAAGAAAGTTCAATATCATATTAGAAGTTGCTGCACTTTTTAATCAAACTCTAAGGCTGTAAACTACTCTCACCGACATAAATTGTTTGATGAGCATCACCCACGCCAACTATCGTAATCAACCAACCATATGGTTCCAAGTAACTTGTTTGAGTAATGTATGATGAGGAAGCAGAGTATCCAAGTATCCAAGTCGTATGATGAGGAAGCAATCAAGTATCCAATAGCTATCAATTTCAGCAATTAAGTTTCAGTCAAGAACTGGAAAATAAATTGTAGATGAGGATTCAAATTCAAAGTAGAAAATAACCGACCTGAAAAGAATCGTCTCATAATAGGGGTGACTTGCATATGCATCTTATGAAAACCAGAATGCTATCGAAGCTTTTTCATCTTCCCATTTACCATTGAAAAGCTTTGAAACTATCAATGGCCTGCTCCCCCTCCCAGATAATCCTCTACTACCAATGTAAGAACTATGTAAGAACTATAGAACTTTAACCTCCGGGATAATCCTCTACTACCATTGAAAAGTACTATTTGTTCGCACTCTCATAAGCATAGCAAAGGGATGGCCGATCATAAGCACATTTAATGTAATTTATACTATAGTATATATGTATCACATATATTTAATTTAATGTAATTTAAATGAACTAGTATTTCATCCGTGCGTTGCACGGGATGTAATATGCACCTATTATAATTATTAATTATAAAACATTTACAAATCATATTATTATCACATGAATAGAGAAATCATATTATTAAACTGTAATAAATATTAGAAATTTAATAAGCACACAAATTACAAATTATTAAAGACATTGTAGACAAAAGTTTTTGTTAGTTTTTTTAATTCTTTCTTTGTCACATTTCTTCGTGTACATGGGAAAATGGGACTAAACCGGACCAATCCCTGATTTTATTGATTTTGGTTCCGATCTGGTTCAAACCCCGCAATAATCCAGTCCGAATAGGTTGGACGGGAATTGAAATATTATACTACCTTTGACCCAATTTTTTTTACCAAACTATAAAATTTCAATCATGATTTTGATCAGTATAATATTATAGAAATAAAAATATTATACCACCTCTGCACTTTTAGCAAAGAACATTTTCATGTCATATTTATTAATATATGTCATTGTATCATACTCTTTGTGCTGCACTACATTTCGATTTCACATAAGATTATTTCCTCATTTGAACTAAACTCGTTGTTCCAATGAGAACCATGCTTAACGTGACAACGTGAAAACTACGACCTTTAACACAATTTGGTGCACTATGAGCATCATCTATTGCACTTTCAAATTTTGATCATAGTATGTCAACATCAAATAAATATGGTAGAAAATCCGTAAATATTTCGTTATCACGAAAATGTGCAAGATATAAACAATATTAGTGCATCACAAATATAGTGCATCACAGTTGCTTAGAAAGAGAGTCTTTCACGTTAAGCATCGTTCTCATTTGACCCAAAATCTCTTTATATATACACCCAAACCCCCACACACATTAAAAACGGTGTACATGTTAAGTGATTGAAGTGCTTTGAACATTAATTCAATTGCACATTACTTACACACTTACGTGAGTAAAGCTAGTTTTATAATTAAAAATATTAAAAGCCAGGTGGATACATTATATTTCTTATTTTGACAATAATACATAGCATGATCAATTGAATTGTTCTTTATTGAATATTTGAAATATATAAGTTAAACCATTAATTTTCAGGGAACTAAATTTCAGTATTGAAGCAGAGGTTTTTTTTAAATATATATTTCCACTTGTCATGCATATGTTATGATAAATGAATAAATGTATTATTACTCCGTATTATTTTGAGAAACCATTGTTTTATTAATAAAACAAAAAAAGTCCATGGAAAACGGGGACATAACACGTTACCTTGAATCAGTAATGCAAAAGTTACATTCTTGAATCTAATAAAAAGGTGAAAACTTTGACTCTTCATACAGAAACTTTGACTCTTCATTGTTGCGCAAAAGAATATTTTTTTTTATTTTTTTTATAAATATTTTATTATTTTTTTTTATTTCTCTACGACTTTTATTATTTTTTACGAATTTATTATGACTTAAAACATTTAATTATGACTTTTGACTACCTTTTACTCATTTTCAAAGGAGATATAAGAATGGAATTAAAAAATATGCGTGCTTCCAAATATCACGTAGTATTAATATGTTTCTATTTTGGAATAAAACATAAGATGTCCCGTTTTTTTATTTTTGCCATACTTTTACTTTTATTTGGGGTAATTTCTGTAATAAATTTGCTAAAAAAGGGATCGAAATTAATAGGGATTACGTGGAAAAGAGAGTTCCTCAAATTTTGGATGGACTAGCGAAGCGGTACAAGTATTTTGAGAATTTGAGATAGCTTGGAAGGGAATTTTACTTAATTTTCACTATTCCAAACTTTTCATATTTGTCCATACATTGCCATATTTGCAAGCCTTTAATGATGCCAAAAGATAAGTATGTGTGGGACTTGGATCGGAATAGGAATTGGTCAAGCCGGCACTTTAGTTCGGTTGGATGGAGTTGAATTCAACTGAATAGAAACTTACTTAATAATATATGCTATTTGATTTTAATTAATTTGTTAATAATATTTTAGCTTGTCATATTTAATCGAATCCAACTAAAATTGAATAAAACTGAACTAATTTATAAATTCAATAAATCTAAAACACTGCATCATATTTTATAACTTTGTCAAAATTGACTACACGTAGAAATAAAATATTGTGCAATTGAATAAAATATTTATTGTGTAATGAAATATTGTGGAATTGATGTTTGTGCAAAACAAAAAGAATTAACATGAACCATAAATTTCTTATTTAAAATGAAAAACAAAAAAGTCCGTACGACAATAAAAATAGAAAGTTGACAAAATTGTACTCCCTTCGTCCCATAAAATTTTTCTCACATTCTCTTTTTGGACTGTTCTAAAAAATTCTTCTCACTTATCATTTTTGGAAAATTTGTGTGGTTCACATTTATTTCACATTTTTCTTATACAACTACAACTATACATTTCCACTTTATTTCACTTTCTTAATATGTATGCCAAGTCAAACTGAGAAGAATTTTCTGGAACAAAGAGAGTAAAAGATATATTTATATAATGCTCTATCTCTCTCTGAATAATTTTCCAATTTTCTTATTTCATCCGTTCCAAAATAATATTTGTTTCTCATTTTCAAAGAATTTGTAGTTCACATTTTTACACATTTCTTTTTCTCCTTACAATTTTGAATTTTCCACACTACAAGTACCACTTTCTTAGTTTCCAAATCTCCATCGATAATTGAGCAATGGAAGTCGTAATAAAAATAACCAACCCAATTTAAAGCAAACCGATTCAACCCAATTACGGACACAAATCACACAAACATGGTGATTAATTTTCAACCCGTTTAAAACCGTGACCAAAAACCAGGAAAAACTGAACCTGAATAGCCTTCGTTCGGTTGTTTGTTTCGGTTGTGGTCTCAGGTAAAAATGGTTGAGCCCATAGATTTAGGTTCGGTTGTTTGTTTTCCTGAACCAGTGTTCCCCTCCCTTCTATCTTTCCTTATTTTATTCATTCCTAATATTGATGATATTCATCGATACGTTTGCCATTATTCCGCGGAAGAAACTTGTGTTGCCTTTATCCAAAATAAATAAATATAATAATAATAAGATAAACGAAGTTGACAAAACTACCCAATTCCTCTAAACTGGATCTCCTCTCTATGTCACAATAAACTCAAAGCAGAACTATCTGGATTACCCGGAGATAGTTTGATTATCCGGGTGGGGTTACCATAATATGTTATTTTACTTCTTTTGAGTTAGGGTTAGGGTTTCTGTTTAGATCTGCTTCTAAATGCTTACAATACATCTTCTGTGTGTGTGTGTGTATGCAAACACACATGAATATTGCATGTTGTGTTTGTGATTCATAAAGCTTTTATGATAAATTTTTGTTTGATTTAATGAAATCAATGATCTGAATTGTTACTGCAATATGGTTGAACATGCAGGTGTTTATATATATATATATAAAGTACTGTTTGCTATGCTCTGTATCACATTATTGGATCAATCACATGTGAGTGTGTATTTTCAATGCCATCATGATATTTATATATGTTTTTTGTACATATGTTTTTTCTGAATGTATTGTCCAAATAATATTTTCTGTAAAGAGTTATTGTTGTTTGTTATGGATCATCTATTTATTATCGGTCATCTTCCAATGCTACGATTACGGATTTTGAAATTAGTAAGTTGTGATTTGTCTTGGCTAAACAGTTTTGATGGGGATTGAACTTATTAGACATCACATAAAGGAAGAGGCTACAAAGATATCCACACTCCCTCCTGGCTTTGAATCACTTGCATCCATGATCCTAAAAAAGGAGAAGGATAATACAAATAAAACAATGTGCTCATCCCCTACAAGTAACTTGCAATTTCAGAGACCCAAGGTGGAAACAGAATATGAACGTACTGAAGGCGCAAATGTAAAGTGTCTAAGACGGCGGTCAGGGATAAAGTATGACCGGTTTGATAACAGTTCAGAAGATGAATCTGATTCCGAGCAGGTTGAGACTGCTGACTTATAATAACTCAGTTTTAATACCCACCTTCGTTTTGTTTATACTGTTCTTATTATTTGTTTTATTTTGCACCTACAGAGCATCCCTGTAAGGCCACATCTACCTAAAGGGGTTGTCCATGAGTGTCTAAAGGTTTCTGCACAATGGCGCCCAGAAGGAGCTTGCAGGGTTGATCTTCCAGAAGCGCCCGTGTTCTATCCAACTGAAGAGGTCATTACTATCAATTGTTGTACTACCTTATTCACTTTCCATTACCCTGCCCGGTCTTTATTTGAAGGCACAGTTGACCTAATTACATAAACCATGGTAACCATTTGATATTCTTGAGCTCTTAAAGAGTAGTATGCTATTCCAGTTTCCCTCTTTTACTATGCCTCTTAATTAAACATGTATACAATATTTATTAGGGGCAAGCCATGGGAAAATAAGAATAAAAAAACACAATAACTTTACAAAAAGACAATTAACTCCTTTTTAGTAAGCACCGGAGGGAGCATTACTTAAACTCTTAATTTTCTTTAAATTTAAAGTCTAAATAAATTCATTGGTGTTCAGGAATTTGAAGATACTCTATCATATATAAATGGAATACGGCCCAGAGCAGAAGCATATGGAATTTGCCGTATTGTACCTCCTGCTTCATGGAAACCTCCATGCTCTCTCAAGGAGAAGGGCATATGGAAAAATTCTAAATTTAGCACTCGTATACAAAGGATTGACAAACTTCAAAATCGGGATTCAATGTCAAAAAAAGCAAAAGTCATTCACAGTAAGAAAAGGAAAAGACGGAGATGCACTAAATCTAGTATTAAGACTCACGATGATACCACTAATGATGAGTCTGAGAAGTTTGGGTTTGAATCTGGTCCAGAGTTTACTCTAGATTCATTTCAGAAATATGCTGATGATTTCATTGCCCAATATTTTGGGAAGTATGAAGGGCAATTGAAGCCTTCAGTGGAGACTATTGAGGGCGAATATTGGCGTATGGTCCTGAAACCCACTGAAGAAGTTGAGGTATATTTTTCTTTCCCCCTTTTATAGGCTACAAAAAAAATTTAGGAATGGAAAAAAGTGCCCAGGAAAATAGTTTTTTTAATGTTCGGTTTTACCTTGGAAAATACGAAAGAAAATTAATACTACATATAACTTCTAAGATTTTATTACATATACTTGGTTTTCTCGATCTTTGAATTAATATAGCTCAAACATATAGAATAAATTGTGTTCAAGCAAAATTGATTTATTGGTCTTGACCATTTTTTCCCCTCCAATTTTCTTTCCTTCCAAATTTTGCTCCTTTTCAAAATGATTTATTGGTTTAAACATTTTACTTCCTAATTTTCATTTACTTTACTCTATGCACGTGTGTATTTTTTTTGCCTTTTTATGTTGCAGGATCTATGTTCAAATGATCTATATTTTTAAATTGAGTTTTGCATTCTTGATGTTATATAGCTCACAAGAACATTATACCCTTTTCACTCCCTAGGTGCTTTATGGGGCTGATTTGGAAACTGGAACATTTGGCAGTGGGTTTCCTAAACAACCTCATCAAATAAGCTGTGCTGCTGATATGAAATACATAAACTCAGGATGGAACTTGAACAACTTTCCAAAACTTCCCGGTTCTGTTCTTTCATATGAAAGCAGTGATATATCTGGTGTTCTTGTGCCTTGGCTTTATGTAGGAATGTGTTTTTCTTCTTTCTGTTGGGTATGGAAGATAACTAAACTTGCTTCATTATCAGCACTCTGTTTTTTAACCGGTTAGAAGATTTTAATTTTAATTTCTAAAATTACAGCATGTTGAAGACCACCATCTGTACTCTTTGAATTATATGCATTTGGGAGCTCCAAAAATGTGGTATGGTGTTCCTGGGGCTGATGCTTTAAACTTTGAAGCGACTATGAGGAAGCACTTGCCAAACCTCTTTGACGAGCAGCCTGACCTGCTTCATAAGCTTGTGAGAGAACACCTTACACCTCTATGCAGTTTTGTTTATCCAAATTCTTTGTCGAATGCCTATCACTAGTTTTCTTCTTATTCAAACTTTTTAGATGTTGGTTTTGGTGGACCCTTCCCCGGACCCTAGCCTTATGGGGACGCCAATGTGCACCGGGCTGCCCCTTAAGATGTTGGTTTTGCCGTTTTGGGCATTAAAAAGTTACAACTAGCTAAAACTTTGATTTTTTAAAATGAGTGATATATCTACCGTTTATTTATTTACAATACTTACCAAACGATAAGACTATGGGTATACTTTTCTTAATAGTCATTTTAAATTGTGTTTTTTTTAATAAAAGTGGTTCCTTTTTTACTTCACTATAGGATCACTTTTGGGGAGAAGCATCAAAAGTCTTTTTTTTTCCTAAACACTTGTGAAGTTATCATGCAAACACTATTCTCTAAATGCAAAAAGTGATTTACACGTTCAACAAGAATAGTGTTTGCTTCTTATGGTATTTTTTTATTAAATTGAAGTTCTTTTCTTCAATTTATGGCAGGTCACACAACTCTCCCCTTCCATACTAAAGTCCGAAGGAGTGCCTGTTTATCGATGCGTTCAGAACTCTGGGGAATTTGTTCTCACTTTCCCTAGAGCATATCATGCTGGTTTCAACTGTGGATTCAATTGTGCTGAAGCAGTAAATGTAGCTCCAATGGACTGGTTACCCCATGGACATAATGCTATAGAGCTCTATTCTGGTCAAAGACGTAGGACTTCCATTTCACATGATAAACTATTGTTTGGTGCGGCAAAGGATGCAGTCAAAGCACAATGGGAAATTAGTTTGCTTAGGAAGAAAAGTTCAGTTAATTTGAGATGGAAGGATGTTTGCGGAAAGGATGGGGTTCTGTCTCAAGCATTAAAGGTAAATAAGTGTTTGTATATTTATGTCAGTTTATGGACTCTTGCAGTTTTGGTATGTAGTTTTGCGTGATATACATTTGTTAATTGTTTATTGGTTGATTATCAGTTAACACACATTGGTCATGTACTGGTTGTGAATTAAATCTATATCTTGAAGATCTCAGGATCCTTAGAGGTTAGAGTGAGTTAGACATAATTTAACACAGTACCTGAACTTGGCCTGACGGTGGTCTGGGTGTCCTCACACTCAATGGGTTTCAGCTTGTTTGGGGTCTGTTTGGTCCATCTGTTCACCTTTCAGTTGTTCATTACTATATGGGCTGATGGGGATCACCGGATTGGACATGGTCACATGGTTGTTTATAAGTCTAGTACATAAGTGTGTGGTTAACTGTAAACATTGATCTCTTGAAGTTTTTGTGTGTTGAGTGTTGACAGTCCAGTTTAACATGTGTACAATGTCATAGAAATAATTGTGATCAAATATAAAGGAACCATCCTTTCTATAGACAATTGTGTTCTTGAGTTTTATTTATAATGTGTGGGTATAATATGCAGAAATGAGAACTAGAATTGTATGGTGCTTACAGCTTGCCTTATCATTTTTTTGTAGACTCGTGTTGACACAGAACGGGTGAGGAGGGAATTTACTTGCAAATCCTCAGAAACACTGAAGATGGAAAGCAGTTTTGATGCTACATGTGAGAGGGAATGCAACATATGTTTTTTTGATTTGCATCTTTCTGCAGCAGGTTGCCACAACTGTTCACCAACAAAATATGCATGCTTGAACCATGCAAAACAGTTGTGTTCATGTCCTGAGGCTTCTCGATTCTTCCTCTTCCGTTACAGTATTGCTGAGTTGGATCTGTTGGTTGAAGCTTTGGAAGGGAAGTTAAGTTCCATATATCGATGGGCAAGGCAAGATCTTGGTCTATCCATGAGCTCCTATGTAAACAATAAAGAGTTAACCAGACCAGTTAATTATATTCAAGTTAATCACATTCCCGAAAAGTTTCTGCCTAATAAAAGCTTTGGTACTGAAGTTAAATCTGGAGTAAAATCTTCAAATCCCCAGGATGATGATGTCATAGTCCTTAGTGATGATGATGTAGAAGAGACCGAGACAACTGTTGTTGGGAATTCTCAACGAGAAACTAGCTATGCTCTAGAATGTTCTCAGGGCTCTCATAGTGCTGAGAAACTGGATGTAGATGCAAAGTCAACGTCCACAGATGGAATACAAAATGACTTGGACCGATGTTTCAGACAAAAGGGTCTGCGTATTGCTAAAGTGGTGAGAAGGATCAATTGCAATGTTGAAGTTCTGAATTATGGAGTTATCCAGCCTGGAATGTTGTGGTGTGATGCTCGGGCTATTTACCCAAGGGGTATGATACTTGAATCTCTCTTAGATCTTTGGATGGAAGGCTTAGTGGCTTTAGTCTCTATGTTGATAAACATTTGAGATTTTATAAAGACTAAGCTCTCCATGCCCCTCCAATAACATTTATCCAAGAACTGGTTGTAATAAACGTTCAACAGCTGACAAGTTTTTGTGTTTTGTCTTGTGCAGGATTCAGGAGTCGTACCAGATATATAGACATTTTAGATCCAACAAACATGTGCTACTATGTCTCTGAAATTCTTGATGGAGGACATCATGGACCCTTGTTTATGGTATAACCGTATAAATAATATCATGAACTCATAGTTTGGTTGTATGGTGTGATCAATTTAGGCATTAGAGTAGACAGCTGAAGGATAAATATGAACTAGACTGTTTTAGATACTTAAAAGTAAGAATACAGGAAGTGGTAGGGAAGGGGAAATAAAATGTCATTTTTTTCATGTTTTATTGGACCTTGGAGTATATGAAGCAACATCAAATATTAACAAAATTATAGTTTTACATTTATTTGGGTTTCTTAGAATTACTCTGTATATAAATAACATGAGTTTGAACAAATATCTAAAAATTACTTAATTGGGCATTTGAGTTGAAGTTTTGGATTAATTTTAAGGAAGTGCCCTAAATAGGAGAAAACAATGTGAAATTCCAAGATAGAAGTACTATATTTTCTGCCTAAGTAGGAGTAATTATTGTCATGTTGAAAAATATTGTCAATTATGATATTAATATTGCAATATTAATGTCTAGTAATGCCAAAATATCAGGATGGTAGTAATTAACTTCTATTTTGGGATTTAATAGTGCTCCCATTTTGATTTTCACATCGTTTTTACTTTTTACTTCTATTTTTGGGAAATTTCCCTTTTCTTTTACTTCCCCTCAAATTTTCTCCTTCCAAAGTTCTCTATTTTCTTTTCCGGGTTCCAAACAGACCCTTAAGATGGTAAACAAATGAATTTTCAGGTTTCTTTGGAGCATTGTATGAGTGAAGTATTTATCCAATTTTCAGCAAACAAATGCTGGGAAATGGTTCAGGAAAGACTTAATAAAGAGATTGCTACACGGCGCAGGATGGGAAAGACAAACCTCCCTCACCTCCAACCTCCTGGGAGTCTTGATGGCTTAGAAATGTTTGGTCTTTCTTCCCCAGCAATTGTTCAGGTAGGCCCTATCAAGCTGTATCTGTTTAATTCTGCGGCACATTTATTCTAGATGAAAAAATTAATGCCCTTTAGGTTAGGCTCCATTTGTTTAGAGGAAAATATATTTTTCGGGAAAGTATCTAAATTAGATCTTTGTTAAAAGTTCAAAAGTAATTTATATACTCCGTATGTATTTCTATTATCTAAAGACTCCGACACATTTAAAAAAATGTTTTAATCAAAGTTGATTTTCTTTACGTAACTCAATGTTAAACCAAATATTAAAATAGCATTCCTCTTAGCATCTTTCACTTTCCGTACCATTTTCTGTTGTTGCAAACAATAGCTTGTGTGTTTATTAGCAGGATCTTAATTTAAGTAAAGAAATGTGGGACAGTTCTATCTATTTTTTTTGTGGATCAAACATTATATAGGAATGAGTTGAGCTTCTATTGCTTAGTAAATTGAAATCCTCTGTAAATAGGAAATTCAAGCTATGGACCAAGATAGGGCTTCTTTGGAGTATTGGAAATCACGGCCACTTGTGCACAATCAAGAAGGCCCTGTGTCTGGAGATGACCCGAAACCAAACCCAAAATTCGAGGGTGTTAAACCAACACTTGGTGGTCTGTTTACGAAGGCTAGCAGTGAAGAACTTGAGGCACTTTACAGTTTACTACGAAACAAACCGTCCCCAACTGATCAATTCTTAGTGGCTGGGCTTCTAAATGATGAGATTCGTAGGCGCAGAATATGAACTATGATTGATTTTTTAAACATGGATATAGGTTATTTTAAGGACTTTTGACACAAAAATAGAAGCCCCAATTTTGGTCACTCACAAATGATTTGCAGCGTAAGCCCAGCAAACTGTGAAAATTTTTGCGCTGAAGATCTTCATTTACTGTACAGTACTAAGATAGTACACAATGAAAATGTTAGACCACTGAACTGGTTGTTTGATTAACTATAAACTTGTAAAGACATCAATCAGTATTCAGTACATTTGATGTGGTGGTATATATGAAAAGAAATTTGAAGAAGTGGTTATTTTCCGTTTTTTTCAATGGTATTGCTTATTTATTACTACCTCCGTCCCGCTATGATTGTTCAGTTTTACCTTATCGACCCGTCTCACTAAGATCGTTCCATACCAAATTTCGCAAAGTTTGTGTGACTCTAAATCATTTTTACTTTATTCTTACTCTATCAATTCAATATCAACCATATGAACCACTTTTTATTGATTTGCGTGCCACTTCCTCTTGTCCTATTGTTAGCGGGACGGAGGGACTACAATTAGGGGTGGACTCGGATTCGGGCCGGGTCCGGGTCGGGCCTAGGCCCGGGCGGGCCAGCGGTTCAGGAGTGGTGGACCCGGGACCGGTCTGGGTAACCACCGGGTCCAGTCCGGGTCCGGGCTGGGCCCATTATCATTCCCCCCCCCCTTCCTAATTAACCCCCCTCCCACCCCCAACCCCCCAAACCACCCAAAATGGCCCAAAATACCTAGCCCAACCCAAAAATTTAAAAAAAATTGAAAAAAAAATCAAATTTGGTCCGAACCGGGCCCGACTGAGTCGGGCCTTGTTTTGGGTGACCCGAGCTCGTACCAGAAAACCCACGGGTCGGGCCTACTCGGACCGGTCACTGACCGGGCCACCAGGTCGGGCCGGACCGGAACAGTACAGGTCCCGGGCCGGTTCCGGGTTGGGCCACCCGGGCCGAGTCCATCCATAACTACAATGCGAAGGATCGCAAAGCACAAGCATTAGAGATTGTACTATTGGACTCTTATGTTCTCTTTGGATAAGATGAACTGAAGTAAACTTAATGCAATAAAGTAAACATAAATTTTAACAAAAACTAGGCTAACCTAACTGAACTCAGACCGTTCATGCATAAAATATTATTTAGAAATAAATGAGGTGAACTCCCACTATGAGTTATTTTTGAGTTTGTTTTGCAGCAAAGCATGTCGCATTTTTTTAGTGCCACTTTAAATTACTACTTACCGTTCCAAATATGTGCTACTTGCGGCAAGTTAATTTAATTCATTTTATGTTATACGAGTGCTTAGCCTCCAAAATCGTTCACTTTGGAGGTTCTTCAATTTTATGTTTTTTTCAGGTTTTTGGGAGTTCTGTGAGATTAACCCGATTTTATTAATAATCTAGGTTATTGTACCTGCAATAACCTAGATTAAGTCCCGAACAAATAGACCAATAATGATAATTTTAAAAGGTTTAAGGGTCACATCAATACACGGAGTTTTAACTTATTGAAGTCTATATTTGTGATGACTTTTTTGAAGCTATAGTTAAATAAAGAGGTAAAAATAGAGTGGAAGATAAGTCGTACTTCGTATAAATTAAACAACGGAAATGAAAAAACTAATAAAAGTTATATTGAGTGATTGGAGTAAAAAATTTAAATTTAAATAATCAAGTACCAAACTAATATAATAATGATTTGATCGTGTCTTGTAGCTAAAATTAATTCAAATAGCCAAAAAACAGTTATCACTATTTGATAAATAGCAAAATATACATTGGGGTAAAGATCAGGTCGGATCAGTTGAGGTTTTGTTTGGGCATTCATAGCTCGTCATAGATGGGCTTCCAAATAAAGATAGTCATCACAGCCAAGCCCAACTATCATAGTGGTTTTGTTACTAGTACTTTGTACCTTGACCGAGAATAGCTTATACACAAATTTGTACACATTCTATGTCCACACCACCTAGTTATTTGTGTACACCTGAAGCTCGTTCAAAAGTTGCTTGTGTACACAAATAACTAGAAGTATATATAAAATGTGTCACACTTTACTTGTACGTAATAGTAAGGTGTGACATATCCTGAATCAGTTAGTGGGGTGAGATTACATTTAATTATAGCATAATAAGCTAAGATTTATTAAACATAAATAATGTCATAATCGATAAAGTTTTTTTTTATAAAAAAATGAACTTCACGTAAAATGCTTGACACAATTTAGTAGAAAGTAATCCTCTATCTTCTTTCATTGTTTTTAACTGTAAAGATTGCATCGTTAATAACAGAATTACATCTTTTATATTTCTAATGAAGTTAAATTTGTATTTCTAAATTTGAAAAACAGTTGTATAACCCCAGGCTATGGGGATTTTATTTAAAACAAACGCCAGCGTAACGTCATTTAAAGTATTGTTAAAAAATCTAGATGCTGGCTATCTCCCACGCTACTGTTAGTAGACATGCATGTTTCCACAATACTCCGTAATAAATAGGACTAGCCATGGACCGGTTCTGGGCGGGCTTATTTTTTGTTGGGGGAATGCCTGGAACCGGCCCGGGTTTTCACTGGGTCCGCGTCGGGCCGTTTCTATTTTTTTTTCTTCCTTTTCTAATTAACCCCCGACCCTCCCACCTCCCAAATCCTCCCAAAACACTCAGTCCATCTAGGGAAAACAAAAAAATTGAAAAAAAAAATTTAAAAAAAGGCCCGAATCAGGCCCGGGTCGGCCGCGCCGGTTCCAAAGGAAGGTCAGCCCGGAACCGCCCCACCCTAACTCCCCGGGCTGGTCCTAGGCCCGGAACCGATACCCGACTCCCGGGCTGGGCTGGGCCCGCACAATAGCGGGCCAGTCGGCCCGGTACTGGTCCAACACTAAATAGGACGAGGCCATGAACAATTCATCTTGTGTGCATTAATAATCTTGCACAAAGTCCAAATCAAATTATAAAACAGGTTCAATTTTTTGTCAACTTTACTTTAGTTTTTAAACTAGCGTTTCGATCATAACTTTCATAAAAGTAAACAAGCATTTTATTTTGACCAACAAACGCGTTTAAAATGTTTCACTTTTTATTAAGTACTACATATTTCATGATTATAAATTCAACTATTTAAGCACCATCCACAAAATTTCTATATTAAAAGAGACAAAACCTTCCTATGCTATAATATAATGTCATGATGAAGACTTCAACCATTACAAGGCCCAACCAATTTTGGACCGGTTCGAGTGTTTTGCAATTTTGGCATGGGCCGGTTCGAAAAAATTTATGCCAGAGAAAAATTTTGTTAAAGAATGATTAATGTCACTCATTGATAACATTGTACAATATTTGGAAACAACTAATTTAATTTAGTGTAGTTATACATAAATAATGATTTACAAGGTACGTACTCCGTAATGACGTTCGAGGATTAAAGTACTTCCGAGGAATAATGGAGTTTTTTCCCAAAATAATGTTAAATAAAAAAATAATTCACAAAATAAGGTTAGATTAAAAATATTTCTCAAAATACTGTTTCCCTGAACTCTAGTTAAAAAGTTAAAAGAACGGTCACTTCTGCGGCTTATGTAAAACATAAAGTGATGCGCGTTACAAGGAACAAGGAAAGATAGTGGTCCCGCAAAAAAAATAAAATTTCATTTGTTTTTAAAAGTGATATATCTTTTTTATTTGTACTCTGATTATTACAAAAATACACCGAAATTCATAACTTTTTATTATCTTTCATATGACACCAATATTGAATATATAATAATAAAAAAATAATTTAACACTTTAAAAATATTTTTTTATGCAAATGTTACGTATATCTTTTTTATTTGTATTCCGATTGTCACAAAAAATATATCAAAATTTATAACTAATTATTATCTTTCAAAAGACACCAACTTTGAATATATAAAAGTTAAAAAATCAATTCTATTAATTTGTGCAATTTAGGATCATTTTTTACTGTGCACACAATTAATCAATAGTGATAGCTTAGAATAAAACTTCATAAAGAATAAAAAATAAATAAAGGTGATTGAGTTTGTGCAGTTTTATTCTAAGCTATTACTCCTAATTAATTGTGTGCACGAAAAAACGATCCTAATTGCACAAACTAATATTACGTAGTATTTATGAAACATAATAAATATTTATTAATTTTGATATATTTTTTGTGACAATCGGAGTACAAATAAAAAAGATACTGGGTATAACATTTACGTAATATAAAAAAAATATTTTTAAAGTGTTAAATTATTTTTTTATTTTTATATATTCAATATTGGTGTCATATAAAAGATAATAAAAGTTATGAATTTTGCTGTTTTTTTGTAATACTCCGAGTACAAATAAAAAAGATATATCACTTTTAAATACAATGAGATTTTATTTTTGTGGTACCACTATCTCTCCTTGTTGCTTGTAACGTGCATCATTTTAAAATAAGGGAACAGTTGAAATGAGGGTTCTTTTAACCAGAGTTTAGGGGAACAATATTTTGGAAAATATTTTTAATCTGACCTTATTTTTGAAATTATTTTTTTTATTTAACATTATTTTGGGAAAAAACTCGGAATAATGACTAAAATATTAGCATGCTATTATGCGAGTTTCAATATGCACAAACGTAAGAAATTATTTTTCCTATAAAGGTTGCTTATATAATATTTGACCATAGATCTATTGACAATATTTCACTCTAAACCTATTAACTTCCCATCAACCAATGCCGCAATACATTTTTCATGAAACAATCGCGCATAAGGCAAATTGTTGAACGATTTTCGATATGTAAATAATGAAGAAATACTTCGTGAAAATATTTTACAAGGAAACAAAATTGAACTCAAAATTCTTAAATTAGTGAATGGGTAGTCACAAAAAGAAAGTAGAATCATCGAGTTACATAACAATTGAATGACCCTCTTATTATTAAAAGTAAAATAAAACTAGACTCACATATATTTTTTTTTATGAAAGGAGACTCACATATAGTTAAGTTAATAACAATGCTAGCTAGTTCTATCAATTTATTTTGAAAATCAACATAAAATAAAACACTATATATATGTGCACACTGCACAACACAATCCTATCGATGTGTCTTATATGTGCGGATCTAACATCTTAATTTTGGGTGTTCAAAGTTATTTTACAATTAAAATTATGAGCAATAATATTATTTGATGGTACAATTCTACACATAAATCTTAACAAAAACATAAAAAAATAAGTAAATAACGTACAAATTAAGAAGTATTATACAAGTAAAGTACAATAAATTATTAAATTAATTTTATATATATGC